GGAGATATCTCAATATCAATACTAACTTATCATTGAACTTTTACTATTACTAAAATGCAATCTATAATTCACTTATTTAATAAACATTCAATTCATTTGATAGTATATATGTGTGTTGTTGCCAATACGGATTTAACTTTTTAATTTTCTATCTTTGATAGGTTTAAGGCAGAAACTATCCTTTCCTCCGTTTATTAGACTGAAATACCCACAATCGTCGTTGACACACGTTTTGACTTTCGAAACAAATAATGTGTAGTTTTGTTAATTTTTCGCTACAATAAAGGGACGTTATGTGAGATGAATTTAATAATTCAAAACCTTTCCTAACACATATAAAACACGCCGAATTTTAACACATTCGTGCGTAGGACTTTTAAAATTTCATTGATTTGGAAATCATACTTTGACCTATGGATGTTCGTTTTTCGTATTACATATACACCAATATTTCGTGTCTCTTCGTGCCAGTTCTTAACTTTTTACATTTAAGTATACCAATTGATCAAATGATTAACTATTCTCATTTTCTATAGAATAACAGCCACGTACTCTATGGAGGGAGGGGGAGGGTTATAATATTCAATCCTGGTTCTCATTTTTTTTAATTGTATTTCCAGAAAATATAGAAACCAATTATTCTGAAAAGTTCGTTAAATATTGTTGAAAAAATAATCTGCTTTTTCGCGATTGAAATGTCATGGTGAAAAAGAAAGAAAAAAACACAGTATCCCCCTTTCATAAATAAAGTTGATACAATAAACTACTTACAAAGTGAGTTGTATTTTTCATACACCATAACATTTCATTTGTGTCTTGCTTCATGCAGGTACAGTCTTTTTTGTTTTTGTTATTGTAACTGGTAATAATATCTAAAGTTTATATCTAGATTAATTAGTGAGTTTTATTTCATATTATAAATGAGACGTAGGGTGTATTTAAACCTATATTCCACTTTAGTTTGATCGGGTAAATTGGATGCAAATCTGGGCAGAAAATAATATTTTTTGGCGGTATAGAAGTCAGATAATGCATATTTTAAGGTTTTTCTTGTTGTAGAACACACTTCGGGGTGTCAGGATTGCCAAAGAAAGACCACCCTACGGTCGGTCTTTCATTTGATCAATCCTGACACCCCGAAGTGTGTTATACGACAAGAAAAACCTTAAAATATGCATTATTTATATCATACTTATAGACGGGACCATCTTTTCATATAAAGCTTGATGTCTAATTAAAAAAAATGTATTTGTTGAAATGCGCTTATGTTGTACGTATTAAAATTGGTACCGTTACAGGCTGATATTCAGTCGAAATTAAACAAAAAGAAATGGAACTCTTTATTAAAGAAGGTAAAATGGACGAAGTTGGTATATTTGAATTGTTTACATCTGTTTCTATGGGTTTTAAACATTTTCCGGTAGCTTTATTTCAGTAAAGAAGCTACTGGAACACAGAAATTTTTGTTCTGAAGCTAATTTAACTGGTGCTGATCACGTGTCATAGTCACAATCATTTAAACAAACGTTTTTTTTTTTTGTGTACCCATCTATGTTGACAACAGATATATGCAAACAGAATGAAAGCCGTCAATGACATTGTCTTGTACATAAACGCGGTTCTTTTTAAATATATTAACTGCATGTCATCGAGTATAATCATTTGAAGGAACTTTTTGGGTATATTAAGAAATTCAATGTTCTCTCATCTTATTTTTGACTTTTTCTCAAATATTCGGAATCTTCTTGTATTATTCATGTGTTGCCATTAAAAATTCTGCCATGTAACCCATGGTTGTCTTTTCATAATTTTATAACATATAGTTTAAAAGCATTTTTTGAAAATCTTATGAAATCCTTGTTACTTTTTCATTGTTTTTAAAAGAAAAAAGGTACCAATGTTAAATGTATGAAAATCAAGAGAAAATCTTTTTCCAGCAAATATTCGAAGACTTATATCTCAAAAACCAGGACACGAACTGCTCTTTTAGGTTCGTTATATATATACTATTAATGTAGAACAGTCTTTCAAAAAGCTTAACAGAGTAGTGAACATCCTAAATGGTAAATAAAATGTTTAATTGGAACTACCATAATACGGTAGCTGTTTTAAATGTGCTACATGCTAGTATTCTTGGGATGAGGGGATCATTACCCTATGTGAAAAAGGTTCACTTTAAACGGTTAATAAATTAACACAGAAATATTGATGCGTGATTATAATTTTAGTTTTAACGAAACGTGTTCAAAGGAATAACTTTCCAATCAAGTATAACTTTAAACAAAACTATTACGTGTTTAGCATTACAAATAAAAGGAATATGATCAACATAAAAATAGCCTATCAAAATTGATGTATAGAAAAGTCAAACTTTGTATTAATTGATTGATTCTTTGTTGCTTAACGTCCAGTGACAAATATTTCATGCGTGTTCAGGACGAGAACAAATTAACAATAAAAACAATAGGTAGATCCAGTAATAGAGGCCGTCTGGTCGGGAAATTTGGACTGCTACAGGAAAATGAGTATATTGGATCGGGACATAAATGTTGCCTTGCGATAGATCACCTATGGACCACTCAAAGAATGGAAACTTGCCAGAGTTATGGCTTCTTTAAAAAAAGAGGATACATCAAATCCTTCAAATTATAGACCAATATCTTTATTGAGTTCTGTAGGGAAGGTAAAGGAAAGAGTAGTGTATAAACATATTTATAATTATATATTAGAGCACTCATAATTATATGCATACCAGTCAGGGTTTCTAAAAGGCCACTCAACTATTTACCAACTCTTGGAAATCTATCATACTAAGGTTTTTCAACACCTAGACAAAACGTTATCTACCATTATAGTATTTTGTGATATATCAAAAGCCTTTGATAGAGTCTGGCATGTAGGCCTTATTCAAAAACTGCTTTCGTATGATATATTTGGTAAGCTATTAGACAGGATTAAGGACTATATCAGCAACAGACAGCAATTTGTTTTTATAAACAATGAAACTTCAACTCAAGGCGAAATCAAAGCAGGAGTTCCGCAGGGCTCTATATTGGGTCCCTACTATTTTTATTATATTAATGCCATTTCAGATAATCTCCATAACCTAGCCCGTTTATTTGCAGATGACACCTCACTGTCATATTCTGGTAGCAACTTTCAAGCAATTGAAAGTGATATTGATAAAGACCTTTTTAGTTTAAATGAATGGACCAAAAATGGTTGGTAGATTTTAATCCAAAGAAAACCAAAGCATTGGTAATTGCAAATGTTAAACCACCAGTAATGACTATTTTATTTAATGGTGAAAACGATGAAACTGTTAAATTTCACAAGCATTTAGGTGTCACACTTTCATCAGATGGAAACTGGACCAGCTATATAAATAATATTACAAAGTCTGCATTAAAACAAGTAAATGTACTGAGGAAACTAAAATTTACACTTTCCAAAAAAAGCTTATTCAATATCTATGCCACTTTTATAAGACCACTATTGGAATATGGATGCGAAGTATGGGATGGGTGTTTTAAATATGAATCTAATAAACTAGAAAAAATACAACTGAAAGCTGCAAGGATAGTAGTAGGACTTACAAAATTTTCAAGTTTAGAATCCTTATATTTTAAAACCGACTGGGAAACTTTAGCAGAAAGGTGTAGACAACGAAAATTAACAATTTTCTATCAAATGCATAAACAAATTTTGACCCCAATATTTAATCGATAGTTACATATGATGTCTGTGGATACAACCTAAGAAATAATGATAATTATATACCCCCTAGATGTAAACTAAGAATAACTGAAAAGTCATTCGTACCATGTACTGTCAGAATATGGAATAAATTAAATTCATCTACAAGAAACGCACCAACTATTCCACAATTTAAACGAAAAATAAAGAGTGAACCATTAAGACCTCCAACATAATATGGTAAAGGGTCTAGAAAACTAAATATCCTGCATACAAGACTATATAGCTAAGGCACCAGTGAAGTTCATTAAACGCAGACTTAAATAAGATAAGTATAGTGAATGATTCTACATGATCCTGCGGTTCTCTTGTTGAAGATGTCATTCATTACTTTCTAGAATACCAATTATATTATAATTAAAGAATATCTCTGGTTAATGATCTTATAAATATGAACATACACATTGATATCGAAAAGCTATTATATGGAAAAGATGCATATAATTAAGAAATTAACTCTAAAATGTTTGATAAAGTTCGTTATTTCATTAAACAGACAAAGCGATTTTAACATTCCAAGTCAGCAGCTTTCTTTTTTCTGTCTGTCCTATTTGCTTATTTTGTTGCCATGCCAATGTGTGACTCCTTCCTTTATTTTCTATAACTGACACTATATTATGTATGCGTTTGCTGTCATCATATATGTGTATTGTATATGCAAGGAGAGGACTTAATATAAGTTGTAATAACTTGTGTCCAATCATACTGCTTGATTATATAGTGCAATAAAATATTATCAAATTTAAAGAGTTGTTGCAAGAGTTCTTAACATGCAGCGTAACGCTCTCTCTTTCTTCAGTAGGCATCTGATTTATCGTCCCCATTATGACCGGACGTGGCTGCGTACTTGTACATACAAACACAACCAAACACGCGTCTCATTTTGGCAAGGGTTTTACTACCGGTCGGAAGAAGACCTGAGTGACCATGTTTATATACCCCAGTCACCCTTTTATCCTAAAACTATATAAATATATGTAAAGTTTTATATTGTCAAATATATGGTTAATTGTTTTCGATTGTGTCTATCTTTAGCATTAATGTATCGGTAAAATGTGAGTTATTAGTATTGCTGTTGTTTTGTTTTTTTAAGAGGGAAAAAAGGGGGGGGGGGGGTGTAGTTTTTTTCTTCATTTGTTCTTTTTTATTTAGAATTTGTATAGAAATAAATGGTAACATCACAGATTGACACGGAAATTGTTTTAAAAGGAAATGCCTATTTATGTTTTGAAGTTTATCATTTACAGGGAAGAATTGAAATTATTTTTAAATAGAGATTTACTTTTGGTTAGGATCATGTATATTGCAATACCTCTTTTCATTTTAACTCAAGGTAAGGTATATTTTACTGTTTACTGTAAGTCACGAACGTTTTGTCACCATTCCATTTGTGTATTTCTTTTATTTAAGTTCTTGTGAGTATGATAGATCCTTGTCTAAAATCAGGTAGAATTTGCTATTTCCACAAATAAAAACAACACAGGTACACTGTGTTCTATTTATTTTTATGTAATTTATGAAATACTTATAACAGTTAATCACATCTCGATATAATCAATAAAACAAATTGAGATTTTAGTTCGTAATTTAAGTCAGAGCAAATTTATTGAAAGTACGGGCTTATTATTTATCCTTTAAATAGTAGTATACCGCTGTTCAATAGTCATAAATCGATTAAGCGAAAACAAATCCGGGTCACAAACCAAAACCAATGGAAACACATCAACTATAAGCGGAAAACAACGGAACAACAGAAACACTGAACTGCAACAAAAACAAACGCCAACATACATAGAAACGGACTATTTGATAACAACTGTCATATTACTGATTTGGAACAGGACATTTTAAGAAAAAATGGTGGGTTAAACCATTTGGAAAGACATGGTAGACATGATGATTTTTTTTTTAAAGAATGAGCATTTGACCTGAGCGGTTAGAAAACGTAAAGGTAGTGGAGTCATATATTTTAAAGTTTCAATTACTCCTTTGGTGACAAAAGGCGTGGCTGTTCTTGTTAAAATATTCCAGTGATAACACGAATTCGTTAAGATATCTTTTTTACTATGGAAAATTGATAGTTACTTCGATGCATCACATTTCAAAGCGAAAAACAAAATGTCAACATCATATAATCTTAGGTATGTTCGGCAAATTTAATGTCAATATTTGAGTCAATAGGATGTGTAACACCCTCTCTTCCGGTACAGTTCCATAACACGGAGTCTCATACTCTGTACAAGCCTTCTGAACTTTAGTTGAGCAAATTTATTCCATTCAGCAACAATTTCGCTTCTTAAATCGCTAAGATTTTGCTAAAGTGGATCTCTGCGATTGAGATTTCTGCCAATGGCATCCCAGACATGTTCGATAGGGTTCATGTCTGGAGACATGGAAGGCCAAAAGATAAGTGTCAATGGCTTCTTGCTCTTTGTACTCTTTGTACTCGATTACAACCCTTGCCCTGTGTGGTCTAGCATTGTCGTACATGCACAAGGGTCTTGAAGCAAGTGGAGGATTATCAAAATGAAGGACTACACTGTTTCTAAGCACCAAATCCCTGTATGTCTGTCCGTTCATGTTACCCTGCAGAATATGCATACTCACCTTACAACAGTATGAGAAGAAACCCCATACTGTAACACCACCAGCAACGTATGCAGTCGTTGGGCAAATGTTGTTTTGGTAATTAGCAGTTTTATTTCCACGGCAAACTCGTATTCTGCCGTCTATTGGTCGTAACAGAAACTGACTCTCATTTGACCAATGAACATTTTGCCAGCTTTTCATGTTCCAGCGTCAATGGTCATCAGCCCTTTGAAACCTGATTATACGGTGCCTGGCTGTTAGAGCAGGTCTCTTGACAACACGACGTGCTCTTAGGTAGCCTCTATGAAGTCGACGGACCAATGTTCGAACACTAACATGACCACCTTGACGCCAGTGGTGTCTAAGTTGTAGGGTAGGAGTAAATGGGTTGGCTTAAGCGCAACCAATAAGGAGTCTGTCATCACGATCTGTAGTTAAACGGGGTCTTCCGGACCTTGCTCTATCATTTACAGTTCCTGTGTCAACATGACGTTGTAAAAATCTGACAATGACGGTGTGCTTAACATTGAAATGGTTACCTATGCAACTAGTTCTCCTACCGGCATTTGACATGTCAATTGCTTGTCAAGGTTCAGTAACATATAACTAACCCCTTGCCATATTTCACAGTAACTTGGTGAAGGTCAAATTTCACCTGTACGCGGGTCAGTAGGAAGATGATTTAAAGGCATCAAAACAGTGTATTCGAAAAAGTGCAGATGACCTTTAATAAAAAAATTGCTTAGCGTGTTGATCGGAGTTTATTTTTTTTTGTCGTAATGAATTTTCTTTGTGTATGTTATAGGCAATTCATAACACCAAACATATATATTTTTTTCGCAATTGTTAAAAAAATATTGCCATTTATATTTAGGTGGTGCTTAAGTTTTGGCGGACTGTATAGATAAAGGTGAAAATAGTGACCTATTTTAGCGGCTCATTCCAACCACACATTACATTTGGCAATTATTCATGGATTATTATTTATAATAAGAACTAAAAGTAAATACTTACATGTGACATACCAATTTCATGTTAAAAAAAACTATACGGGATGATTAGTATAAATTAACTTTACTTGTTGATATTTTTCCAAATGAAATAAAAACTCGTGATCAATTTTATTAAAAAGTTTTCAAATTTCATAAAATAGTGCAAAACACAACAAGAATTATGCATTGCAAAAAAAACCAAAAGAAAGCCGCACTGGTTTCAGCCAAATTGCATTTTTTCATGTCATTTTACAGTTTTGTAATAAGATTAAGCATACAACTTTTACATGTTTAACTTTAACAAAAATTCGAAAGACAATATTGTATTAGAACAATGGTTCACCGTGTCGGTAGTGAAAAACGTCATTTAGCATTTTTGTGTGAACAGAAGGAAAACTTAACGATATAATTTAAAGATAAAATATAAGACAATAGCTCTTATATTGTTCTTTCCATAAATGAAAAGTAATGTAAACAATTGTTTTACAATTCTTGATTTCTTGCTCATTAAATCCCAATCGTTTATAGGTCAATATTTGTGTAAAACATCCCATGTCTGAATAAGAAATTGAAATAGCCTGATATAAGTGTCTTCTTATTGTGAAACAAATCTTACGTTAAAGACTGTATCCTTGTTTGTGTATCTCAGACAATGTCAAGTACATGTAATTTTGTCACCAACAAAAACATACTGGTTAAATCTTAAATATGTTCAATTCAATTGAAGCACATTCTTAAAAACAAATTTGCTGACAGACGAGAATCCATATCTTAATCATCTATTAATTATGTAGAAAAATATATACTTTTCTTTTAGCGTGTGTCTCCTGTATCAATATACATTTGTATGGGCCACATTATGTAAGAAATGGAGAACATGTATGGGTTAATTGTTCGTCAGATACCGTGCCGTCAGGTCAGTATACCGAATTTATCGTGAATGGTGAAACACTCGACAGCTTAGAACGGCGAACAATCGGATGTTTTTCGGCTATCAAAAGAGGAAGATGTTCTTCAACTGCGTGCCACTGTTCCCAAGATGCCAAACATTATGCTATTCGAATTTACGTTAATCAGCAATTCGATGACTTAACAGTTGAATGTTCGATGAAATTCAAGTCAAAGGGGCCATTACCTGCGAAAAAGACAATGACAATTCGTGTTCTGAGTAAGTCAATCTGTTTACATTACACAACAAATTTCTTAAGATAAAATTTCACAGGTGAATATTTACAGTATGTGTTCGATGCGTGCAAGTACTGATCAGTATTGGCTGAAAGACGAATCATATGATTGCGTCGTATGGTTTCTTTTTGAACGAAATCAAAGCATGAATTTCGGAGAAGACGTTTTGAAGTTGAACAACTTGTGTCTGCTCCATTTGTCCTTTTGAATAGAATACGATTAAGCAAACCCGTACCATATAAAAGTAAAAGAGAGGCGAAAGATACCAAATGGACATTCAAACTTATAGGTGAAAAATTAACTGACAACACTATGGCAAAAAAAAGAAAAAGACCGAAAGACAAACAACAGTACACAAAACACAACATAAAAAACTAAAGACTGAGCAACACGAACCCCACCAAAAACAGAGCGTTATCTCAGGTGCCCCGTCGTGTTACTCATGTAAGTACACACCCGGTGATAAGTCTTATTTGGTATGTCACATTCGGGAAAAAGAGGACGGGATTGTGTAACATATCCATCGTCATCTGTGAAACATATTTTCCATAACGGTTAACCAACACGTGATGGCTCCGTAAATTTGCAACGGGATGATTTTAACTTCACCAATTGGAACTCTTGGTTTAATAGCTTCCTTGTAAGCAGCAACCCTCTATCAAGGAAATATTTTAGGAAATGCAAGCCCTTGAATATAGTATCAACTGGGAGATTTATACTCCGTATGCAGGCGCTACTGGAATTTTGCTACGTAGAAATGGAAAGTTCACAACTGGGAAGCTGAAATCATCTCTTTTGTCGTAAAGTTATATATTATACCGACCAACATTGTCAATTTTTAGATGTAAGTCAAGATATGAGGCAGACTTCATTGTACTTGTTGTATCCTTTGTCTCAAGTTGATGAGGTAGATGCATTCAACATGGTCACCAAACTTTGAATTATTTAGTGAGAGGACAACGTCTATATAGCGGCAAGTGATGTATACACAGGCCAGAGTCTGATCTTGTTTTGCCATATGATATAAAAACTAAATTGACGAAAAAATGTCATTTATTCAAAACCATAAAATGCAAAAAATACATTTTGCAAATAAAACATTTGACATAAAAGTTCATTATAAATATGAAATTATAAAACATAATTAATACGAAATTACATCAACTAAAATCATACCAATTGAATAAATGACAACGAATAGCAAAAATGGGGAGAAAAATCTGCCACAAATCCACTCTTAGGTTGAAAGAGTGGAACCCCCACCCGAGGACTCTTCCGACGTGAATACAATTTATATATAACTTGTTAGAATTTGGAAGCATGACAATTACATACACAAAAAAAAAATAACATTATATCTTTGTAAAACGTTTCCACATTGAAATGAAATATTAAAAGTTCATATTATTATGAACCTACATATATTACTTTTAAATTATCTCTTGCTGATAAACATGATAAATTGTGTAAATCTTATTCCATGAACACAGCAATACAGCTACAATAATCATCATTATTAAGTATATTTATTCACATTTCGTCTTACATCTAGACATTCAATAACATAACCCCATAAATATTTTAGTACAAACAATTTGTATTTGTACACTTATTAACCAAAAGCATTTTTGCCTCATTTGAGAGATATGAAAAATGTCTCCATAATCGTTGTATACTGGACAACTAATAATAAAATGTTGTTCATCTTTAATCTCCAAACAAAATAAAAGTACATTTTACAAAGCCCTTTCTACATATAAAGTTTTATATCTGACTCTTTCTATTATTGGGTCATGGCACTGATTCTCATTTTACCGAAATTGTAAAAAGATGGATAAATTTCTTAAGGAAAACAAGTTTTTAGTTTGGAATAAGTAAATAAGTATCTAATTTAGAACTTTTTTACTCTCAGTTAATTTCTGTTGTGTTCCCAATTGATATAAAACTTTTACAGTTTTTGCCTAACTGATGACTTGATAAAAAAGTTAAGCTTTACATCTGAAATTTGAATATTCAGCTTTTTGGAAATTTAATGAATGGATGAATACCAGCATTCGCTATTTATAGTAATATTTCATATTGATAATACCACTATAAAATATAACAGGAATCTACCAAATTTACTTAGCACAGCTAAGGTAGAGGACTTTTTATTTACACTTAAAATACACTTCATATATCTAGAATTTGTTTTTTTCTAAAAATAAGAATTAAAAAAATAATAATAAAAATAATTGCTATGAATTATTGAAATAAATATTCATTTCCTTCCTGGCATACTGCAGAGCTAGTTTTGAACATACCTGTAGTTTCACTGCCAGACATTATTAAAAAATGTTTTTATTGTATGGTCGTAATTTAGTTGAAATACTTGGATTGGAAGATGAAAAATATCTTTGAAATCTAAATACAGCTTTAAGTGATTTTTTGTATAGTTTTTCTTTACCTTGCGTTAAAAGTCCATGAGATGTAAATGTTATACCTAGTAAATATTTATAGCTGTTTAACACATACTTAAATATCTTTCTCGAAAGAGAACTATTCGTTTAAATATTTACCAGGTTAGGTAAATATAATAACTTTGGTTTATGATAGATTGACCTCTAAAGACCATAGCATTTAGATTCAGATTCAGATTCTTTATTAATATAACTAATAGTACATTTAGTGTTCTCCATTACAAATCATATGATAATAAACAAAACAACATTTCAAAGTTTTACATGTAGTATATAATAATACAATTGTACACATTATTTTGTTTCTTATTTCTAATGCATCTCTAATAAATTTTCCGTATATCTTTATATTTATGACAAGATATCAAAACATTTTCTTCTGTCTCTTATTAAGTGCAGAATTTGCAAAATCGTTTTTCTCTTGGAGTTTTGGGTTTATTATATCTACCTCGTTCTATATTTAAACAATGAGCACAGATACGTAGTTGTGTAATTTTACTTTTTATATTTTTGGTAAAATTAGTACAAAATTTGGATAAACCATTAAAGCTGTTATCCTAATGCTAGCAAGTTAAAGGTTTAGTTGGCTTGCTTGCTTTTTTTGTTTAAATGTTTACTCAAGCATTATAATTAAGATTGACATCTGCAATCAATAGATAGGCGGGGCTTCAACTTGTATACATAGCTGAACTTCCAATAACATTTATAAGTAGAATGTATACAAGCTGAAACCCCGCCTATATATTGATAGCAGATGTCAATCTTAGTTACAATGCTTCAGCAAACATTTATACAAACAAAGCAAGCAGGTCAACCAAACCTTCAACTTGGTAGCATTAGGATAACAGCTTTAAGTCGCTTTATGAACAGATATATCATGTTAAGGAGGGGTATTTGCGAAAAATACCAGTCGAGAGAGTGTTTAATTTCGCGAGCCGTAAGGCGAGGGAAATTCATTCTCAAGACTGGTATTTTTCGCAAATACCCCTCAAGAACATGATTTATCTGTTTAATTACACCGAATGTTAACGTTCAAAAACGCATTGATGATCGTGACGTTACAAGCGTCCAGTCGGATAGAGTATTTTTTGGCAAATACCACGGCAGAGAGGGTAAAAAAGGCATATCCTTTTTGCATATACCCCGGCGGCGTTAAAAAATGAACGATATTCATTTGATAACAGTAAATTGGTGAAAAATACACTGGCTATCAACCAATCAAAACCCAGGGTTCTTACATAAGGTGTAATTATATATAAAATTTGAAACTTTGCAAATTGCAATTAACTAGGCAACGCTGACAACCATAACACGATCTAAAAACAATTCATGTATACATACAGGAAGTTAAACTGAGCCGTAAAATTAAAAAAAAAACAATACAATAGTAGCTTATCAAATCTTAACATTGACAGTCTTAATAATGTGTAAAGACATCAGGAGGGTAGGCAATATTGACACCGTCCAGACACCTATATACAATTTGAATTTACCAAAGGCAAAGCTATATATTTATAAACTCGACAATGATCATAATTAAATTGTAAATACTATTTCTCCTTTCAATATTAAATGTAAACCAAAGAACAATGTTTTTTCCTCGACAAATCAACAGATAGATGTAATTGTATGAAATAAAGATCATAAACGTTTTGGCAGGCAATACTTACCCAAAACAAAAGCATAGCATTTTATTACTAAAGATCATATAAAACATTTTGGCAGGCAATACTGACCCAAACCAGAAGCATAGCATTTTATTACTAAAGATCATATAAACGTTTTGGCAGGCAATACTGACCCAAAAAAACAGCTGAAGCATGAAATTGTATTACTTACTTAATCCTTTTTATCCTTAAAAATTCCATAAACGCATTCGACTTCAATCCTTGAATCACGGAGGCGTGAATTCCATCCACTAGCTGCAGCAGAAGTCTTTATTCTAACACTAGGTGCTGTATAGTACCGGTAGTCGACAGAGCAAACTTTAAAGAGGTGGTGAAATAAGAGCGTGCAACTGGTGCTTCAGACTTACATTGGGTCCAGATGTGTATCAAAATGCTGATCGAAGACACCTTTTGTAAATTAGTATTGATAAAACAGTCAAAGTAGACTTTGGCCCGTCAAGGATTATTGTTGATACGACTCGCACGTCCAGATCAAAATTCTAATCTCAAAATTAAGTATGTATCATACACGTCAGTGAAACAGCAACCCATCAAAATTCGTATGTTTGTATTATCGGAATTATGACATACCATTGATAAATAAAAGTATATGTAAGCTGTTGATTTCACGCTTTATTGCAATGGGTGAAAATTCTTACGTAGATGAATGCAAGACTCTTTGTCGATAGTTAAAACATGAAATAAACAAAATTAAAATGTAAAATAATGAAAAACAAAAATTGTCATTATAAAACAAACTCAATCTAACTCTAGAACAATAAACATGTATTAACACATGTTAAGGTATAATATGCGATATTTTAATTTTTTTTCTTCAATCAATCAACCATAAAACATATATATCATGTGTTAAACGGAGAGTATGAACTTTAAACTATTATCATTGTATTGATAACTTATGTCTTTTCCATTGATATTCTTAATAGTAAAACTATTATAAATTACAAGCAAACGACCTCACAATGCTTTAGTATTGGTATAAAAATTATCTATTAAGTTCATCGCAACCCAAAACTACATGAATTATACTAGTAAACATAATTTAACTAATACATTAGCAACATGTATTAAAATACTGGCAAACATGTGAAAATAGCTACATGTCTTAAAATACTGGCAATTATAGCGAATAGGCTTAATTTTTCACAAATTGTTTGATAAAAATTACAGGTTAACAAGTCAAAAGCTGATGAAAAAAGGAAGTGCACACAAAGCACATACACGTGAACTCGTGCTTGCCCCAAAAGATCAGTGACCAATAGGAAAGATGTAATCCAATCATGCACTGGTCATAAGTGAAATTTCTCTACACGTGAAAGCATGTTATCTAATTTCAACAATGTATCGTTTACTTAGGTATAACAAATCTGACCTATTGACTAATACAGAGACATCATAAATTTACAGTATTAATAGCTCCCTCTTTATTTAAGTCTGAGTAATAAACTGTACAGAATTATCTTTCCTGCTGCCTAAAATGAATTTATTCGGCTATTCAATTAGCACATAAATTTGGTTATCTAACTGCTGCGTACAATCATTGTTTGATTTTTAAGGTGATCGATGCCGTATTCATTGTACATGTTGTATAATCATTCAAATGTATATTGTTATAAATGTCCATGGTGCATCTTTTATTGTAGATATGTCACAGCCTAAAATCGAGAAAAATGGAGAAGACGTCCTTGCTGTCGGTACTACGAGAAAACTACGATGTAATGTTATAACACCGTTAAACTTACAAATGTATTGGAAATGTCTGAACACCACATCAAATCCTCCGACACGTTATAATACCAGTCTTTCAATATTTGCGTATATAGAAGCACAATCGTCAGATCATGGAGAAATTTGCACCTGCATTGTACAGTTTGAAAATTTTGAGACGTCAGCATCAATTGTGCTTAATATTTCAAGTACGTAATAAAAAAATAATTATATTAAACCAGTAAACTCAATGACAAAAGACGGGTTTTAAGTTATTCTTGGGAAAATTAATGAAATGTATCTTCAACTCGACAATATATGGAAAGATTATTTTCTGAAATAGCCATGACATCATTTGGTCTCTGGTAGATACTTATACCACACCTCCTATGTTTTTATAAGAAAATTGCCGAATTTTTTTTCATGTTCAGAAAATCATATAATATGCATGAACATTAAAAGAATTCTCTTCACGCATTTTTGTCAGTATTGAGGAGATTTCTGATTTTTCTTCCCATGTTCTTAGGCAATACAAACGCACTTTATTTTTATGATCGCTACTTTTGTCAGATATTCGGAATCCTCTTCTTTTATCCATGTAGTGACAATAAACATTTTGCCCGCTTACACCTACTTTTCCTTTCATAATTCTATTACACATAGTTTAAAAAACCATTTTTGAAGATATAATAAAATCCTTGTTATTTTATCATAGTTTTTGAAAGAAAAAAGGTGCCAATGTTAAATGTATGAAAATTCTAGAGAGAATCATACCCGCTAAATCTGAAACACGGACACAGACATGTCAAAGTTTCTACTTTTTAAGTTTTGAAATTCTTATTCTTCTTTTAAAAAGCTTGTTATTTTAAATCGGAGAAGCGAACGTCCTTCAGCAAATTATAAAAATCAAAAAAAAGAATCAATCAGTTGTTTAACTATTTCGTTCAAAACGTCCCCGTCGTGCAGTTTCTGATCGATCTAACAGTGCTAAATATCGATATTAGTGAGGTGTCAACTGAACTAATGTAGTGAGTGAATCAATTGCCATGTTTATACATTCATACACTACTGAGTTTGATCTTTTTTCTTTAATCCAATCTTGGAATATACACGTTAGAAACCTAATTAAGCACCTATAGTGTAGAAAATTCCGTGTATTTGTTTCGCGTCGAAATATATGGAATCGACAAGGGTTATCCACAATGTTTTGTTAAATTGGTTACAAAGTACCTTACCACAAAATCCCAATTGAAAGTGCGTGTCACCCATGGTTCTTGAAGATTTCATTATTTTAATAATTATTTTATAATAAACCTCCGAATGGTTATTAGAAGAATGGGTCTTCATCGGCTTACGGAATGGTTAACTTAGCACATATTCACTAATAAACAGCCTCTATGGTGACTGGGGAATGGACATCTGGTCACTTAGGTCTTCTTCTAACCGGTATACCACTGTACGTTAATCAACCAACAATCATCCAATCTGACCGGTATTAAAATCGTTGCCTAACAGGGACGTCTATTTGGCAGTGCGGGATGAACAAGTACACAGTCACGTCCGGTCAGAATGAGGACGTTGAATCCGATGCCTCGTGTAATGAGAGTACCACGCTCTTTGCATTTTAAGTACCCTTGCAACAATTTTTTGAAGGGTCCAGGTGGCCTGTAACAAGGCAAAATTTCTATCCCTTGCCAATATACCCTCATTTTGCTGTGGCAGTCCAAATTTCCTTGACCTTCATCCCGGACAGCCTCTTTCACATGAACTACCTATTATACCTATTAATCAATGAAAAGTAACATTTGTTTCTTTATTTAGGTCCACCAATCATTCAAGTTAGACATTCAACTGTATGCAATCAAACAGCAGATGCTTATTTACAATGCATACTATCAGGCGATCTTCAGTATTACGGATTTAGTCAATGGACTCATACAGTTAACGGAAAATTCATCCGAAAGCTAAATGGCAGAAATCATGGCAACACATCCTCTTTGTTAATTCAATCATGCTCTTATGAGGATGTCGGTAACTATACATGCAGAGCTTGGAACGAAAACAACCACAAGAAGTATTGGTCTAACAAAACAACCATACTGACAGTTAATGGTAAATATAATGAACATTCTTAATAGATATATACGCGAAGGGTTTTTGTTGCATTTTAAAGAAAAAAAAAATGTGAAAAGTACATTTACTTAAACGTTTGTCTGCATTTAGATCACAATTCACTGAAGCTAGCATTCAGTGGTGATACATAATATTTAAACGTGGTACAAGAACTAAAGACATCACCTTATTTTTTTTAAGACAACATTGTTAATCATTTTTATTCAACAAAATGTTTTTAAACATTAAAAAGATGTATTCATAGTTGTAACTTGAAAATATTCAAATCTTCATGTGGACTATTAATCTCAACCTCGAAACATCGTACAGCTGACTGGGTAGTTGACCGTAGATTGATTAATTATTAGTACTTTTAATATATAATTAATACATTTTACATAATTAAAAATATCGATACAATATTCACATGTCGTAGTGAGAATTGTTTGTGACACGACGATATAAATGCACGTAAAGTGAACAAAGAAGTTTAATAGAATTTCTTTAAATTGAAATACTTTTTTCTTCACAATTGTTTATTCCACAGATCTTCCTGTGATAACAAACACAGATACAATTACTAATCCAGAATTACATTTTGTTGTATCCTACTATTCCGTACCTACTCCAGTTTACATAGAGTGGTTCCGATATGGAGAGAAATTAGAAAATTCGACATTATGTTCATTTTCCTCAATCGAACAGTCTGTTAATCTACCTATACATGGAATAAAGATACTCTGTGAAGGATATAGATCCAACTTGAGCATTGTAAAGCCCTTTTATGGAGAATATATAGCCGTTTTGAAGAATAGTATTGGAGAAACTAAGCATTATTTTAAATGGGAATCTACAGGTAGGTCAGTGTAAATTGTTATTTAAAACATGTGCAATACCATTCCGGAATGGCCAACGTTATTAGGTTGGACTCAATAACGTCCAACCACGTGATTACCGACTTAAAAATTGTTCAATAAAGCTTAAATAATATGCGATATATACTGAAAGGTATTTCAAAACATAAGAGAAACTGACAATCATAGGGAAAAACACGACAGTATACAAAATATTACATAGAAAACCCAGAAGTGGGCAACACGAACCCCAATAAAAACAAGGGATGATATCAGTTGCTCCGGAAGAGTATCTTGCTCAAAAGGTTGTACCCATCGTTTCATGTTATAGGTCCTTTTGTCATCACACATGTAACCATATTGAATGTCAAATGTTTTGTATTGATTTTTTTTTAATTTCTTTCATTGCATTAACGGTTCCAATTTTACTGCACCAAACGCCCATTTCGACAATTTATGCATATTCAGTGGTGCTCGAGGCCAAAATATTTTATTGACTCATAAAAAATTGATATTCTGTTTTTTATTTCTTCTTCTTCAAATTGTAATATCATAAGCTTGGTATTTAATTTCAGATAAGAGTGCATTCGACTTTCAGAAATTACTGTGGGGTTTAACTGGTGTTACCATATTTATAGCAACAGCTGGAATAATGGGAGTTTTCATGAAAATAAGAACTGCCCAAGGCAAGTAAACGAATTGGGAAAAGCAAAACATACACTCACAAAAAAACATCAAAAACAAGACAGTACCCTCGCACATATTATCGTCATAAACGACACTGCATGTACGTCCATGTTTTTATGTTACCTAAAGAAAATCTGATTGAGGCTTAAGAATCTGAGCAGATGTATTACCCCTGTAACTTCCCACTAACGGTCCTGCGTATTGTTATGCGTTTACTTTTCTACATTGGCTAGAGGTATAGGGGGAGGGTTGATATCTCATAAACATGTTTAACCCCGCCGCATTTTTGCGCCTGTCCCAAGTCAGGAGCCTCTAGCCTTTGTTAGTCTTGTATTATTTTTAATTTTAGTTTCTTGTGTACAATTTGGAGTTTAGTATGGCGTTCATTATCACTGAACTAGTATATATTTTTGTTTAGGGGCCAGCTGAAGGACGCCTCCGGGTGCGGGAATTTCTCGCTGCATTGAAGACCTGTTGGTGACCTTCTGCTGTTGTCTGTTCTATGGTCGGGTTGTTGTCTCTTTGACACATTCCCCATTTCCATTCTCAATTTTATTTTGGAAACCATTTTATGACTAGTACAGTTATTTTGTATTGACACATCTTCGGATTCATTAGTGGTTATATATGTTTATTTCATACCATCCGAGATGTACCATTAATTTTAATTGAGCTTTTATAATTATGGCATTAAGGTAAATTTTTATAGCATGAAATCATTTTCAGGAAATCAACTCGATACCAATAATCACATCAATACAAAAGCTGCAGCAATGTGAGTATAAGTTTTCCTTTTATATAAAGCCATTTGCTCTGTTATCAGAACTCTTACAGTTAGTTCCATTTCAGATATATATCTCATTTTAGACAAAGTTAGTAGTTGTAATTTTTTAAACGGGTTTCATGTAATTATATTGTTACCGAAACTATTTCATATTGCAGAACAATACTAAACTATCTCATCTGACTCGCTTTTTTACGTTACTTACGAATTAATCAAGAATGTATAATCGACATAAAGTATTGCATTCGGTTATTTTTATCGAAACTGCCTGTAACTTTTTCTTGCATCAAGATGTTTCCCTTTGCACTTGTACAGGGTCATTACCGAATAACGTACAGTCGGCGAATAAGATAACAGAAAGACAATAGTTCAATAGCAGTACCTTCCCGAAGATTTGGATTAAATAAAGGATGTTCTTTAAAAGAATGTTTGTTTTAAGTTTCAAAAGTTAGCCAATCAGTAATATAAAGCACGTGTATCTTCTTTTTATCAATTTGAAGTATCATATGAGTTTAGAAACGATTTCTAAAAATATATTGTATTATTCACCACCAAATAAGAAGGCAGTTTGTATATACTTTATTACCAATTAGATGCAACAATACAGGTAGTTTACCGATGTTCCATTTTAAGGTAAAAACAAACACGGAAAACGAACAAACTCTCGAAGGAGCAAATCCGTTCACAAGGTTAAAAGCGTATCAAATTAGAATTATTGCAAATGAGGCTAATGCCAATTATTCGCAATATTGTTTCTAAAGCATGGAAAAGAGAGCATTTTCAAATGTATATAAACTTTTGTTAAAATATGTCATTGCTAGGTAAAAAAACCTCTAGTGTCAAAAAGTACTAAAGTAATACATTTAAGAAATTGATGATTTAAGGGACTTTTAGGATTGTTTGTCTATGCTGCACCTTGTATAATGTCATCCTAGTATATATATTTTGCTTTGATTGTTCTATATGATTAAAATGTAAGCGTATAATGTAACAGAGCTGCTTTTGATACTTTTCGACATGTACTTGTATGAGATCACATATTGTAGTTTAATGACTATTTGTCAGATAAGGTTGACGGGAATAAAAATTAAAAATATAGTTTTTGTACATTTTGGCTTCTTGACATCAGTATTATTATACGATACAATCCTAATAGTAATCGGGACTTTTCTCTTTAAATCTCTTAGATATTACGCAGCGCCCGAAGAGGATAACTACGTCCACGTATACAATGATACAGAACATTGTTACAACCAGTCAATGAATTCATCCGCTGGACAATACGAAGAGATACCTGAGAATAATATAGATATCAGCAGACGAGAAGTACATGAACGACATTATGATGTTTCGCACCAGTACAGCGAGATTGATACGTGATATTATAAATATTTTTAATTTGAATGATTATTTTTTTTTCTTATAAAACGTTTGATATTGTATCGATCTCTTTCGTAAAGCCAGGCTTTACACAAGAAAGAATTTGACAAAAGTTAAGCAAAACAGTTTGAATGTATAAAGTTTAACTATTGTGCATATCGTTTGAACTGTAAGATTACATTTCAAAAATACAAAAACTTCACCCAATCATGATCACTTTTAAATTTTCATTTTATCAAATTTAAGATTACAAAAACATACATTGTTTTAAATCATTTGTTTAATTAAATCGTTTTTTTTAATTTTGCTGTTGTTGTCAATCCTGACAAACATATGAATACGGATCCAGGAATTTGAAAGAGGGCGGGGACCCCAAACTAGGCAACGTTTAGAGTGGGATAAGTAAAATGTCTATGCATTAACAATATATGTAGCTTCATTAGGGGGCCCGGGAACCATGCCCTCCCTAAATCTGCATCTGAACACATATGATATACAAGTGAGTCTATACTTGAATTTTTACGATTTAAATAAATACATTTTTTTAATGTTTCAGTGTTCGGTTTAACTTCATATTTCAGCTGAAACAATTACATGTGTACCCTTCGTGCTTGAAACCAGCAACTCTGGCATGAAAAGAGCCTGTATCAAACCCAGATTACTACATTTTAAATATGTTTGGTGTGATGTTTTCAGTTTTTATTACTGGTTCTGAATTTCCATCTTCAACTTTTAAAGATCTTGTGGAGAGCATATGCCACATCTATTCTTTAATTCGTTTTTAATTTATTTTTTTTTATTTATGGATTTCGTTTTGTCAGTAAGCTAGTGGATCTAAATATTAGCTTTTCATTCTTTTTTACAACTGTTGAAAAATTTATAAAAACAAGAATGTGTCCATAGTACACGGATGCCCCACTCGCACTATCATTGTCTATGTTCAGTGGACCGTGAATCTGGGGTAAAAACTCTAATTTGGCTTTAAAATTAGAAAAACATATCATAGGGAACATGTGTACTACGTTTCAAGTTGATTTGACTTCAACTTCATCAAAAACTACCTTGACCAAAAACTTTAACCTGAAGCAGGACAGACGGACGGACGAACGAATGGACGCGCAGACCGAAAAATATAACGCCCCTCTACTATCGTATGGGGGGGGGGCATAATAATATTTGAACTAGCTTACAGTTACTGCGAGATACATAGTAATTATATTTTGTTTTGTTCATTATGTCGATCTATTAAATCATGATGAGACAAGCCTTTTAACTGATTTTACATCCTACAAGCACGTTTTACTTCGCATATGGCAAAATTTTGGTACTTTGCTAATTTGCATAGCGGCCACATGACGACAGCCATTGCATAGGATTATACATGCCCTTAAATAAAAATGCAAATATGCCTAGGTCGAAGCAACAATTTGTTCGGATTTGATCGCATATAGGTGAATTATACATGTTTTTTGCCTTCTGTTCATGTACAAATGAACATTGTCTACTTTGAAAACTTTCGGCCTTTTCATTTTTAAAATCGGAAGCGTGGCCGTAGTATAATTGCTATTTAGAATAACGAAAAATCGTAAAAAAGCAAATTTCAACATATAAAGAGGTTGTTCGAGGGGGGTGACACACTTTTGGGATGTGGGATATAGGGGGTAAAAAAAAGTGGGATCTGGGAAAAAGAAGGAAAAAAAAGAAGGAAGTGGGATATGACCATAATGTGGGATGTGGGAAAAACCCACAAACAAAAAGAATGGTGAAAATGCATGAATGGTCATGATGTGTCTGATTGGTGGTGTCCCCAGTCATGGAGTCGAATACAGCATAGTGTATTTAGAATAAGATCTACATTTTTTGGCATATATGAATAAGAATGTTTATTGAATCCAATTAAAGGGCCCGTTTCCGAGCATATACATATATATATAGTAATTTTTAAGATATATTCCATTTAAAATAAATGACTATACTCCATACCAGATGGTTTTGAAAATAAATAAAATAGAATATTAACCCTCTCTAATACATAAAAAAAAAAATAAACTACATCATTACTACATGTATATTTAGTTTCTGGAATGCAAGTTTTCTCTTATTTCAAAACAAGTACTAATACATCTTGAAATTGACATATCAACATTTTCAGATTCACAGGACATCAACCAAATAAACTGTTTATACTTTGAAATATAAGGGAAGTTTTTACATTGAATGCATGCTTCATGAAGAATAAAATTCCTTTCCTTTTCGTATGCAATGCATTCCATTAAAAATGAAACTCGTCTTAAACCTGCATATTTTTACACTGCCTACAAAATCTTTTATCTTTATCGATTTTTTTATATCGACCTTTCTCAATAGCTAACTGATGAGCACTGATTCTAAATTGAGTGAAGCTTTTTCGATACTGAAATTTATTAACTTGACATAAATATGCTTCCCTTTTGAAGATGTTTTTAAATTTGAAATAAGTACCCAATTTTCCTTTTTATGTGTGATCGTTACATTCCCCTGTATTGAAGATCCCATCAACAAAAATTGGCTTGTAATGATGATTCTGATGGGTTTGAGGGAACGGTTGTCCCGATTTATACACTCTTTTTTACAAAAGGGCTTAAAATGCCTTATCACAGGCAAGTTATAGACATTGAATTAAGAAAGAGTGACCTTAACCTAAGAGAAATAACGAACAGAATACTACAAGGCGAAGGCATCGACAAGAGTTCGGTCTGATGAGGACAAAGTATGAAATAGGGTATTCACGCAAAGACAGTTCCAGTTCAGCGCTAAAATTAGAAGATTTCAAAGCATCGTTGAATAATGACCAATGGATCATTGCCATCGACAAGGTGGTCAACGACAAAGATGGATATGTTATAACAGGTATGATATTGACAGTTAATAATATCTGTCTGTATGAATTTCCCACTTCTTTATATGGATGGGTACGTCACAGATTCCTTTCGGCTAATGTGTGACGGGTTGGTCTGCGCACAAGTTAGTCGCGCTTGCTGAGGAGTGCTGATTTAAACTCCTCGGTTGTAGTGAAGCACACTAATGAGTCATCCAGATGGTTCCAATCTACTGCAGTGCGCACAAAAATAGAGTTTTTGAACTGGTCAGTCTTACTAGATGGAACTATGACCGCTAGTTTGTTGTTACGGACTTGTTGGTCTATAATGTTCTTAGTAACTAAGGTATTATAGGTTGTTGCTCTGATTTGTCGTTTTGGTCTATGGAATTTAATCAGGTCGTCAGGAGGGAGCGCTGGTATCTTCCCCTCAACCACTTTGAAAAGAAGATCAGCCGTTGTTGATGGCGTCTTGATTGTAGTGATGGAAGCTGAAGTTCTGATTGCATTTTTGTCATACATCCTTCCTCTCTCGATTTGTAGTCTTTGGTGATAAATCTAGCACCTCTCTTTTGTATGTTTACCAATTTATCGATGTCTTTTTGCGTATATGGGTCCCAAATAATTGATCCATACTCCATAATTGATCTTACGAGTGCTATATAAGCTGTTTTACGGCATTCCCTAGGGCAGTCTTGTATGTTCCTTCTAAGGAAGCCTAGCGTGAAACTGGCTTTGTTACATGTATTTGTAGCCCAAGATATGGGTTGGATGACACTTGTTCAAGCGTGTGGTTGTTAAGGTTGTAGAACCGCTGGCTTTTACTTTTTAGGCTTGGCATATAGCATTTTTGTGACGTTGAAGCGCATACCCCAGTCGTCGGCCCATTTTCCAGTGATTTGAGCTCCTCTTGTAGTATGTTGTGGTCGTTTTGGTTTTTGATTTCCCTGTACAGCAAAAAGTCGGACTGACAAGTTTACTGCATCTGGTAGATCGTTTATGTGACACAAGAAGAGGATGTCTCCTAGCACCGTTCCTTGGGGACTCCGGATTCAACTGAAGCATTACTCGAGTGTTCTCCTTCAAGTTAAACTCGCATTTTACTTTCAGTTAGGAATGAAGTTAGCCATTTGTGGATATTTCCTCTAATTCCTTATTGGTTTATTTTGTGCAAGAGTCTATCATGAGGTACAGTATCGAATGCTTTGGAAAAATCCAGAATCGCAATGTCTACCTGGTTTCCTTTGTCGTATGACTGGAGCATGTCGCGGATTGTGATGGCAAGTTGGGTCTCACAGGAATATCTGGATCTGTGAAGCCATGGATTAGCAATGACAATACATTATGCTTTTCAAGATGTTTAAGCATATGTCGGCATATGATGTGCTCAAGGAGCTTACATGTTACTGATGTGAGACTGGTCTATAATTTTCAGCCGAATGTCGGTCTCCTTTCTTGAAGATGCTAGAGATGTTGGTATTTCTCCAATCCTCTGGTAGGGTATCCCTGTCTAGGGATAGCTGGAATATGGGTGTTAGTATTGGTGCCAGATGTTCGGCGCATTGTTTCAGTACTCTCGTTGGTATGTTATATGGCTCGATGCTTTGGATGGGTTGATATTTTGTAACAGCTTTTTCACTCCTTCTGTTCTAATGGTAATTTGATTTATGGAATCTTTTACCCTGATGTTTGTTTTTGGTAATGTTTGTGTTGTTCCTAACATTGTACTTGACCAGATAAATATAAAATAGCCATGATAGCCATTACTTGTCTCAAAAAATAAAATCTATTTGTACAAGGCTTAGAAACAGGAAGAATAAGAGGCTTTGCAGAGCATTTCTATCCTGTTTCAAGCTGAGTACAAATAAAATCTATATATTGAGACAATGTACAAATCATGTATGGTTATTCTCTTTATACAGCAAGTCTAAAATTTCTTAAACATAAAATATTTTGGGTAAAAACCAACATTTTGAATTTGAAACGAACGATTTCAAAATTCTGTGAACCTGTATTCTGTATTGAAGTCATAAATAAAGGTCTACGGCAACACATTGTCACCTTCACAAACAAAGTGATATACGGTCAGTGACTGAATATCACATATAAATATACAGTCAACGCAATTTGACTGCTCAAATAAAACGATTGCAGTATAAAAAACATTTGATACGAGCACGTGACCAACTTCAATCAACATCAGAAAATTGCTTTTTTTCAATAATGTTTCCAGATGATTTTATTGTTTGGCCTCAGAATGGCCTGGAACTGCAGCTATGCAGTAACTTTAAATTTGATATTTGCTGCTAGACACAATTCATTAAGGAGTAAACTCAAATAAGTATATCTGAACTTCTTTACGAGGAACTTATTGGAAAAACCCAGGACAAAAACAGCAGTGGAGACGAACAGGATGAAGACATCAACGCAGTTATGGGGATTA